TCAGCCAAGCCGCCACGGCCTGTCCCTGGGCGAGGTCACCAGGGTCACGGAGCGCACACAGCAGCGCTGATCCTGGCCCTGCTCTGAGCTGCACTCGAGGGAGTCAGGCGGCCACACTACCAGCACCCAGCTGTGTAGACGGCCCACGCCCACGTCGCCTGAGCTGCGGCTCCGGCCTGCTCCTCTCCAGGGGAACCCTGCACAGGGGCTGCTCCCCCCAGGACTCACCAGGCAGAAAGCACCGTCGCTCGGGGGAGAGGAGGGCAGAGGCCCCAGCCGGCGCCCGAGCACACGCGTGTTCACCGCCACCGCCCGTGCTCCTCCCGCTCACGGCCATCCTGACAAGCAAACCGCTCCAGCCCCCACACGTGCTCAGCGCATCCCAGGCGTGACCAGAGCTCCGGGGAGCACCAGGTAGCACCACGGGCACTGGAGAACCCACACCCAACACACAGTCGGGGCCAGGCGCACCTGCGGCTTTCAAACACCTCCCGTCTGTCACGAACACGAGCCACCGTCTGGCTTCCAGGTCCGACCACGGCCAAGTGAGCCCAGCAGCTGGGGAGGAGGCACCCACCCCACCCTCGGCGCAGGGGCAGGCCTAACACCCACACGGCCTTTCTGCCTGGGCTCTGCATCTGCAACGCACACTGCGTTTTTTTTTTTTTTTTTTTTTTTGACAGGCAGAGTGGACAGTGAGAGAGAGAGACAGAGAGAGAAAGGTCTTCCTTTGCCGCTGGTTCACCCTCCAATGGCCGCCGCTGCAGCCGGCGCACCGCGCTGATCCGATGGCAGGAGCCAGGAGCCAGGTGCTTTTTCCTGGTCTCCCATGGGGTGCAGGGCCCAAGCACCTGGGCCATCCTCCACTGCACTCCCTGGCCATAGCAGAGAGCTGGCCTGGAAGAGGGGCAACCGGGACAGAATCCGGCGCCCCAACCGGGACTAGAACCCGGTGTGCCGGCGCCGCAAGGTGGAGGATTAGCCTATTGAGCCACGGCGCCGGCTTCACTGCGTTTTCAAACTGACTGTGAGCCAGAGCAAACCCTGCCCGCACCCAAGAGGGCGTGGCCCCGGGGCCAGCTTCACAGCGCGGGGAGCGAGGCCGCGGGGCAGACGGCGGCCGGGTCGGGCAGCAGAGCAGACGGGACCCCAGGGAGCTGGCGCCAGCCTCCACGGCTCACAGCACTGACCCCAGAGGGGTCTGAGTTCAGGCCATGCCAGCACTGACCAGGCCGGGGTGGAGGGGTGGGGGTGGGGGTTACTCGCCGGCCTGGGCTACACCCCTGCCCACGTTTGTTCTTGTCGGTGTGCAGTACTGGATTTAAGAGAACAGCCCAGAAGGGACAGGGAGTGGCGCAGCAGCTAGGACGGCTCCCCACACCTGAGCCCCTCGTCCCAGCTGGCTCCACCCCCATCCCACACTGCAGCCCCTCCTCCCAGGTCAGGCTCCACCCCCACCCCACACCTGAACCCCTCATCCCAGCCCAGGCTCCACCCCCACCCCACACTGCAGCCCCTCATTCCAGCCCAGGCTCCACCCCACCCCGCACCTGAGCCCCTCATCCCAGCCCAGGCTCCACCCCCACCCCACACCTGAGCCCCTCGTCCCAGCCCAGGCTCCACCCCCACCCCACACCTGAGCCCCTCGTCCCAGCCCAGGCTCCACCCCCACCCCACACCTGAGCCCCTCGTCCCAGCCCAGGCTCCACCCCCACCTCACACTGCAGCCCCTCGTCCCAGCCCAGGCTCCACCCCCACCCCACACCTGAGCCCCTCGTCCCAGCCCAGGCTCCACCCCCACCCCACACTGCAGCCCCTCATCCCAGCCCTGGCCCCACCCCCACCCCACACTTGAGCCCCTCGTCCCAGCTGGCTCCACCCCCACCCCACACTGCAGCCCCTCGTCCCAGCCCAGGCTCCACCTCCGAGCCCAGCTCCCTGCTAACCGCGCCCTGGGAGGTTCAGATGTGGACCAAGTTCCCGGCCCAGCCGGGGTAGTCGTGGCCACCTGGCGAGTGACCCGGAGGCCACAGACCCTGTCTTGTCTCCCTGCCTTTGGAATAAGTAGAAACAGACACACACACGCACACGCACACACGTGCACAGGTGCATTTCACAGCCCACGAGGGAGAGCCTCCTCCCGGGAGTGACAGGGTTTCCGGAGCAGCGTCAGGGCTATGGGGCCAGGCACTGGTGGCCCGGTGAGGACAGGAGGGGCACGGGGGCTCGTGACCCACGCCTGGAGCTGTTTCTGGTAAAGTGGCCCCTTCCTGGTCACCTGGAGTCTTCCCCCAGTGCCAGGATGCCACAGGCCCCGCAGCCTTGAGACCTGGGGGGGGGGGGGGACGGACACCGCCCAGCTGTGCACGCGGACACTTCCAGGGGCCCACAGGAGCCCACGCGATCTCCACAGCACAACTGTCAGGAGGGAACAGGCCCTGCTGGCCTCCCGGGGGCCACGCCCTGTGCAGGGAGCAGCGCCCAGCCCGGCACCTCCTGGGGCACCCAGAATCCCTTGTGGTTCCCCAGCGAAGCGCCACTCACCTTGCAGGGGGAAGTGGGGTGGGGGCGGCGAGGCGAAGTCCAGCTTATCTTTCAGGTCCGCCTCGTTCTCCCGCTGCCACTGCAGCCCAACCTGCTCCCAGAGGCCCGCGGCCGACCGCCTGCGGAACGAGAGGAGAGCGCCTCACTCAGACTCTTCCACGGACACACGGGGACCACGGAGATCCTGGGCTCTTCCACGGACACACGGGGACCACGGAGATCCTGGGCTCTTCCACGGACACATGGGGACCACGGAGATCCTGGGCTCCTCCACGGACACATGGGGACCACGGAGATCCTGGGCTCCTCCACGGGGTCCACGGTGCGCCTGGATCCCTCCATGGATACACAGGGACCATGGTGCACCTGGGCTCTTCCACGGGGACCACGGTGCGCCTGGATTCCTCATGGATACACAGGGTCCACGGTGCGCCTGGGCTCCTCCAGGGACACACATCCAATCCCAGGGACAACTGGCTCATCCCTACCCCGCCTGTCAGGGCCAGATCCTGTCAGCTGAGCAAGGTGGGGGTGGTGCTGTGGGACCCCACACAGGGGGGACCACCACCGAGGAGGATCACAGCGGTGCAAGTGCAGTCCTGGACAACACCGGAAACCAGACAAGCTGACCGCCGTCAACTGAGACGGCTCTGCCACGGAAGGGACACGGGGCAGCTACATGAGAGTCACCCTCCCCACAGACTCAGGGCAGCTGTGTGCTGAGTCACCCCCACCCTGCAGGGACACAGGGCAGCTGTGTGCTGAGTCACCCTCCCCCCCTGCAGGGACACAGGGCAGCTGTGTGCTGAGTCACCCCCCCTGCAGGGACACAGGGCAGCTGTGTGCTGACTCACCCTCCCCCCACAGGGACACAGGGCAGCTGTGTGCTGAGTCACCCCCACCCTGCAGGGACACAGGGCAGCTGTGTGCTGAGTCACCCTCCCCCCGCAGGGACACAGGGCAGCTGTGTGCTGAGTCACCTCCCCACAGACACAGGGCAGCTGTGTGCTGAGTCACCCTCCCCCTGCAGGGACACAGGGCAGCTACATGAGAGTCACCCTCCCCCACAGACTCAGGGCAGCTGTGTGCTGAGTCACCCCCCCTGCAGGGACACAGGGCAGCTGAGTGCTGAGTCACCCTCCCCCTGCAGGGACACAGGGCAGCTGCAGCTGTGTGCTGAGTCACCCTCCCCCCCTGCAGGGACACAGGGCAGCTGTGTGCTGAGTCACCCTCCCCCCCCCCCCCGCAGGGACACAGGGCAGCTGTGTGCTGAGTCACCCTCCCCCCCTGCAGGGACACAGGGCAGCTGAGTGCTGAGTCACCCTCCCCCCCCCCCCGCAGGGACACAGGGCAGCTGTGTGCTGAGTCACCTCCCCACAGACACAGGGCAGCTGTGTGCTGACTCACCCTCCCCTGCAGGGACTCAGGGCAGCTGTGTGCTGAGTCACCCCCCCTGCAGGGACACAGGGCAGCTGTGTGCTGACTCACCCTCCCCCTGCAGGGACACAAGGCAGCTGTGTGCTGAGTCACCCTCCCCCTGCAGGGACTCAGGGCAGCTGTGTGCTGAGTCACCCTCCCCCTGCAGGGACACAGGGCAGCTGTGTGCTGAGTCACCCCCACCCTGCAGGGACAGAGGGCAGTTGTGTGCTGAGTCACCCTCCCCCTGCAGGGACTCAGGGCAGTTGTGTGCTGACTCACCCTCCCCCTGCAGGGACACAGGGCAGCTGTGTGCTGAGTCACCCCCACCCTGCAGGGACACAGGGCAGCTGTGTGCTGAGTCACCCTCCCCCTGCAGGGACTCAGGGCAGCTGTGTGCTGAGTCACCCTCCCCCTGCAGGGACACAGGGCAGCTGTGTGCTGACTCACCCTCCCCCTGCAGGGACACAGGGCAGCTGTGTGCTGAGTCACCCTCCCCCTGCAGGGACACAGGGCAGCTGTGTGCTGACTCACCCTCCCCCTGCAGGGACACAGGGCAGCTGTGTGCTGAGTCACCCCCACCCTGCAGGGACACAGGGCAGCTGTGTGCTGAGTCACCCTCCCCCTGCAGGGACTCAGGGCAGCTGTGTGCTGACTCACCCTCCCCCTGCAGGGACACAGGGCAGCTGCAGCTGTGTGCTGAGTCACCCTCCCCCTGCAGGGACACAGGGCAGCTGTGTGCTGAGTCACCTCCCCAGAGACACAGGGCAGCTGTGTGCTGAGTCACCCTCCCCCTGCAGGGACTCAGGGCAGCTGTGTGCTGAGTCACCTCCCCACAGACACAGGGCAGGTGACTGCAGGTGACTGCCCGGCTCCCGTCCTGGACTCAGGCCCAGCACGCACACTCACCGGATGTCCGGCATTTCGTCATCGATGCTGGACAGTAACAAGGGGATGAGCTTGTGGAAATACGAGTAGCGGTCTCGCAGGTCCAGCAGCCAGCTGCCCACCACCGACGTCACCGCCTGTCGCACCTACAGGCACAGAAGCCATGGAGCTCAGGGGGACGGCACCAGCCCGAGGCCAGCCCTCCCCTCGGCTGGCCAGCGGGTTCACCTAGGCCACGGCGGGGACCGTGGCTGCTGCCTCAGCAATGCCAGTGGCAACGTGGGCTCCCCCGGCCAGAGCGGGCGCCGCTCCCGTCCCCGCCCCCGCAGGGCTGCTCAGTGGGCTCCCCCGGCTGGCGTCACACCTGCACCCCAGCTCACACACACAGCAGTGACCTCACACACCTGCACCCACAGCTACACACAGCAGTGACCTCACACACCTGTACCCAGTACACACACACAGTGACCTCACACACCTGCACCCAGTACACACACAGTGACCTCACAACCTGTACCCAGTACACACACAGTGACCTCACACACCTGCACCCAGTACACACACACAGCGACCTCACACACCTGCACCCAGTACACACACAGTGACCTCACAACCTGTACCCAGTACACACACAGTGACCTCACACACCTGCACCCACAGCTACACACACAGTGACCTCACACACCTGCACCCAGTACACACACACAGTGACCTGACACACCTACACCCAGTACACACACAGCAGTGACCTCACACACCTACACCCAGTACACACACAGTGACCTCACACACCTGCACCCAGTACACACAGCAGTGACCTCACACACCTGCACCCAGAACACACAGCAGTGACCTCACACACCTGCACCCAGTACACATACAGTGACCTCACACACCTGCACCCAGTACACACACAGTGACCTCACAAACCTGTACCCAGTACACACACACAGTGACCTCACACCTGCACCCAGTACACACACAGCGACCTCACACACCTGCACCCAGAACACACACAATGACCTCACACACCTGCACCCAGTACACACACAGCAGTGACCTCACACACCTGCACCCAGTACACATACACAGTGACCTCACACACCTGCACCCAGTACACACACAGTGACCTCACACACCTGCACCCAGTACACACACAGCAGTGACCTCACACACCTACACCCAGTACACACACACAGTGACCTCACACACCTGCACCCAGTACACACACAGCAGTGACCTCACACACCTGTACCCAGTACACACACACAGTTGACCTCACACACCTGCACCCAGTACACACACAGTGACCTCACACACCTGCACCCAGTATACACAGCAGTGACCTCACACACCTGCACCCAGTACACACACAGCAGTGACCTCACACACCTGCACCCAGTACACACACAGTGACCTCACACACCTGCACCCAGTACACACACAGTGACCTCACACACCTGCACCCAGTACACACACAGCACTGACCTCACACACCTGCACCCAGTACACACACACAGAGTGACCTCACACACCTGCACCCATTACACACAGTGACCTCACACACCTGCACCCAGTACACACAGCAGTGACCTCACACACCTGCACCCAGTACACACACACAGTGACCTCACACACCTGCACCCAGTACACACACAGCAGTGACCTCACACACCTGCACCCAGTACACACACAGTGACCTCACACACCTGCACCCAGTACACACACATTTGACCTCACACACCTGCACCCAGTACACACACAGTGACCTCACACACCTGCACCCAGTACACACACAGCAGTGACCTCACACACCTGCACTCAGTACACACACAGCTGTGACCTCACACACCTACACCCAGTACACACACACAGTGACCTCACACACCTGCACCCAGTACACACACAGCAGTGACCTCACACACCAGCACCCAGTACACACACACACAGTGACCTCACACACCTGCACCCAGTACACACACAGTGACCTCACACACCTGCACCCAGTACACACATAGCACTGACCTCACACACCTGTACCCAGTACACACAGCAGTGACCTCACACACCTGCACCCAGTACACACACAGTGACCTCACACACCTGTACCCAGTACACACAGCAGTGACCTCACACACCTGCACCACAGCTACACACAGCAGTGACCTCACACACCTGCACTCAGCTCACACACAGCAGTGACCTCACACACCTGTACCCAGTACACACACAGCAGTGACCTCACACACCTGCACCCAGTACACACACACAGTGACCTCACACACCTGTACCCAGTACACACACAGCAGTGACCTCACACACCTGCACCCAGCTCACACACAGCAGTGACCTCACACACCTGCACCCAGTACACACAGCAGTGACCTCACACACCTGTACCCAGTACACACAGCAGTGACCATCCACCAGCTGTCTCTGCGCCTTCCTGAGCTGCCCTTTGTGGCCAGGGACTGTGGCCAGGGATGGCTCGGCCCACAGTCAGACTGGTCGCCAGCTGCGCTGGAGGCACAGAGGGACAGGGCAGGGCTCCCGAGGGGGCACAGTCGGTGAGGCACGCAGTCCAGTGGGGCAGACATGGCCTGAGTGGAGCCCAGGAGACATGGACACAGCAGAGTTCCAGGCAGGTGCGGGCTGCACCTGGAGCCCACACCCGATGCACCCAGCACAAAGCATCACAGACGAACTGAGTCAAGACCCTGTCCTGGCCCCAAAACCCCCTTCACCCTGCCACCTGCACACCCTCTCCATCCCCCTCCCTGCCCCTGCACACCCTCCCCATCCCCCTCCCTGCCCCTGCACACCCTCCCCATCCCCCTCCCTGCACCTGCACACCCTCCCCATCCCCCTCCCTGCACCGCACACCCTCCCCATCCCCCTCCCTGCACCTGCACACCCTCCCCATCCCCCTCCCTGCACCGCACACCCTCCCCATCCCCCTCCCTGCACCTGCACACACCCTCCCCATCCCCCAGAATGCACCTGCACACACACCCTCCCCATCCCCACCCTGCACCTGCACACCCTCCCCATCCCCCACAATGCACTTGCACACACACCCTCCCCATCCCCCAGAATGCACCTGCACACACACACCCCCATCCCCCATGATGCACCTGCACACACACCTTCCTTATCCCCCATGATGCACCTGCACACACACCCTCCCCCAATCCCACCCTGCAGCTGCACACACCCTCCCCATCCCCCACCCTGCACCTGTGCACAGACCCTCCCCCTCATCCGCTGCCCTACAGGCAGCCACAGCCCTGGTGGCCGGTGACTCAGGGCACTGTCATCCACACATCGCTACAGCAAAGCTGTGCCCTGCACCACACGCAGCGTCACGCACGCAAATTCCCAGGAACGAGGGGAGGCAAAGGTTGCGCCAAGTGGGCGGCCTGGGACAGCAGTCAGACCCTGAACTGGGTGGGCAGGGCCGCCCCTCACACACCGACCCCCGTCCCCAGCAGGACTCGGCCATCTACTCCCAGGCACACAGAACACCCAAGACAGCAGGGCCCAGCAGGCACGTGTACACCCGTGCTCTCCACAGCCAGCGCAGGAGCAACACATGTGCCAGCAAGACACGTGCACAGGGCGGACACAGTGACATGCTACACGCTACACGGACGGCAACCAACACACACACACGTTACACGGAAGGCTAGGAGACAGCGACCAACACACACGCCACACGGAGGGGCTGGGAGATGGCGACCACCACACACACACACTACACGGAGAACCTGGGAGACAGCGACCAACAGACACACACTACACGGAGGGCCTGGGAGACAGTGATCCACACACACACACACACACACTACACGGAGGACCTGGGAGACAGTGATCCACACACACACACACTACATAGAGGACCTGGGAGACGGTGATACACACACACACACTACATGGAAGACCTGGGAGACAGCGACCAACCCACACACACTACACGGAGGGCCTGGGAGACGGTGATCCACACACACACACACTACACAGACAACCTGGGAGATGGTAATCCACACCCACAACCACACCCACACACACGCACACCCACACACACTACACGGAGGGCCTGGGAGACGGCGAAGCGTGTTCCGTGCAGCTCCGCTCCCATGAACGCCCAGTGCTCAGGGACAGGGGGAGCGGTGGGAGGGGGTGTGGGGGACCACGAGTGGCCGCCTGGGAGTCACCCCAGTCCCCGGGACAGCGTGGCTGTGACTCAAGGTGACAAATCTCACAAGACGAGGGACTGACGCACGCCGCCCGCGAGCTCAGCAGTGACATGGGTGGGGTGGGCAGCGGGGGCCTGGCTGCTCACGCAGAGGTGGACGGACGAGGTGGCCACTGCCCCCTCTCACGGCTGCCACCGGCACCTCCGCCCGGCTCCCAGGGTCACGCGGTGTCTCCGTCCACCGCTGCCCCGACCCGACCCAGCCCGGCCCCCGCCCCCGGGGCACCCCGGCCGTTACCTGCGGGACGTCGTCGAACAGCCGCTGGGCCAGGTGCGGCAGCACGTCGTCCAGGGCCTTGCTGGCGCCCAGCAGGACCACAGTGCCCGTGGCCTCGGTGGCGGCCACGCGGACCTTCCAGTGCTGGTGGGTAATGGTGTGCATCAGCGGCGCGGTCAGGGCCTCGGCCTGCAGGTGGAAGTGGTCTGCGGGGCAGCGGGGCCGCGGTGAGCGGGGCCTCCCCGCGCAGGGACCCCGGGGAAGGGCGCGCGGGAGTCCCGGGCCGGGGTCCCCTGGGGACAGGCGCCCGGCCACGCCCACCCCGCCAGGCCACGCCCACCCCGCCTGCCCCGCCCCGCTCACCCGGCGTGGCCCGCGCCAGGGCGGCGGCGCACGCGCAGCTCTCGCGGCGCACGGCGGCGAAGGGGTCGCGCAGGGTGCAGCGCAGCACGCGCACCGCGTCGTCCAGGTGCGGCGCGGCCGCGGCGCCGCCCAGCTCCACGGCCAGGCCGAGCAGCCGCACGAGCGCCAGGCGCAGCTCCTCGCACGGCTCCGGCGGCGGCCGCGCGGGGTCCGGGCCGGCCAGGCGCGCGGCCAGCGCGGGCAGCAGGTGCGGCAGGGCGTCGCGGGGGCGCGCGGCGCGCCGCAGGCCCAGCGCCAGCAGGTGCGCGGCCAGCGCGCGGCAGCCCTCGGCGGGGTCGGCGAGGCGGCGCAGCAGGCGCGGCAGCAGCAGGCGCGCCCAGGGGCCCTGGAAGGCGGCGGGGTCGGCGGCGGGCAGCGCCGCGTCCTCTTCCTCCAGCGCACAGCGCAGGGCCTCCAGGGCGCGCCGCCGCCCCAGCTTGCTCTCGGCTTCCAGACCCGGCAGCAGGCGGCCCAGCGCGCGGCTCAGCTCGGCCGCCGCGGCCGCCTCGTCCGGGCCCGACGACGCCACCTCCGTCGCCGCCATCTTTCCGCGTTGCTCGTCGCCACGGGAACCGGCGCTTTTGCGACGGCGCGGCGCGGATGACGGCACGACTTCCGGCACTTCCGGCGAGCGCGCGGCGCAACGGTCGCAGCGGTCCGGGCGCAACCCACGCGTCCTGGGCGCGTCGGGTCCGGCCCGCGCCGGCTGCTTAGCCGTTGACCGCGGAGGCAGAGAGCAGGTGTCCACCTTGCACACGGGGCTCACGCCGGTCCAGCGAGCCGCCCTGCCCCCTCCCGCACACGGGGGTCACGCCCGTCCAGAGGGCCGCCCTGTCCACCCCGCACGCGGGGTCACGTCCGTTCAGAGGGCCGCCCTGTCCACCCCGCACACCAGTGTCCGGAGGACCGCCTGCGCACCCCGCACACGAATGTCCCGAGGACCGCCCTGTCCACCCCGCACACGAGTGTACTGAGGGCCGCGCTGTCCCAGCTGGCCAGGCCCCCGCTAGAGGGCAGCCCCGTGGTCCCCACAGGCCAGCTCAGCCCTCCGCCCGCCTGGGACGCAGGTGGCTGTCCAGCCTGCACAGGCGTCGCTCTCCCTCCCCTGTGTGCACGGTGGCTAAGGGACGCCAGGACACAAGGCCATGCCCGCGATGGAAGCCCACCACAGACGGCAGTGCCTCTGCCCGAGCCACTGTGCAGGGGGATCTGTTAGAGGGAGCAGTCTTCCATGTGCTGGTTCACTCCCCAAATGGCCACAAAGGCCAGCGGTGGGCCAGGCTGAAGCCAGGAGCCGAGAGCTGCATCCAGGTCTCCCACGTGGGTGCAGGGGCCCAAGCACTTGGGCCATCAACAAGGAACGGGATCAGAAGAGGAGCAGCCGGGACTCGAACCGGCGCCCATGCGGGATGCAGCGGCTCTACCCGCTGTGCCACAGTGCCGGCCCTGATGGAGATTTAGACCCAGCTTCTGCAAACGCGTTCTCCCAAGTGCCCAGGACACGCCTCAGACTCCCTCGGGAGACTGAAGTTTTCCAGAAAATAATTATGATTATTTTTAGCAAGTGGGAAACAGGCTCAGCCAAATGCCCGGATCCCAGGAGCCGAGCCGGGCAGAGACGGGGAGGCCAGGAACACGCATGTGCCGACCTGGGGGTGGGGGTGGGGGCAGCGTGAGCGACAGCGGGTTCCCCGCGTGTGCAAACACGAGAGGTCAGCTGTGTGCCCCGTGTCCAGCAGAAGTATCTTCCAGGAGGGAGGACAGAGCAGGACCCGCAGTGCGGCTGGCTGACGCAGCCCCCCTGGACCGTCCAGGGAGACCCCTCCCAGGGTCGGGGGGCACCTTGATTTTGGCCAGGGGCCCTCTGCGTATTTCTAGCATCATTCAGGAGCCACACAAAGCCGTCCACTCAGGAACTGGCCTGCGGCAGAGCCCGGCCTACGGTTGCCCTGGCGGGGCCGCCCTGGACAGAAAAGGGGTGCTTCCCAGCCTGGGAGACGGGGACGTCACCAGCAGGGGGCGCCCTGGCGCAGCCTCGCTCGTGGAGCACAGGTGCACAAGCCCTCAGCCGAGCGCTGACGGAGCTGAGACATAGCGGCTTTTAAAGGGGACGAGAAACCTCAGCCAAGCCTGGGGCGGACTAGGAGCACAGCTGGCCTTGCAACACGCGCTCGGCCACAGCCGTGGGACTCGCTCTGAAGGTGCGGGAAACAGGCGTGGGAAAGCCTGGTGCTCCCGTGTGCTGGGGCTCTCACAAACGAGGAGTGAGGGTGGACGCCGGCACATCCAACCCCTACAAAGCTAGGGGTTCCAGACACACGCCACGCACGCCCAGCCTCCCCCGTGCTGGCCTCGCGAGTGGCCGTGGCCGGGACGACGTGCTGGACTCTTCCAGGCCTGCTACTCCGGAGACCTGGCCGGCGTGCCACACCTGTCCACAGCCGGTGTGGTGCAGCGCGCAAAGCCGCCGCTCCGGCACCGGCACCCTCAGCCGAGCGCCTGCTTGGAGTCCCAGCTGCCCCGCTTCCAAGCCAGCTCCCTGCTAAGGCGCCTGGGAGGGGGCAGGTGGCGACCCAAGTGCTGGGGCCCCTGCCAGCCGCGAGGGAGACCCAGACGGAGCTCTGGGCTTCTGGCTGCAGCCTGGCCCCGCCCCAGCCGCTGCAGGCGTTTCAAGAGTGAAGCAGCAGGGGACTGAGCGCGCGCTCGCTCCCTCCCTGCATCTCTTCCTCCCTCTCTCCACCTCCCTCCCTCTCTCTCCATCTTTCTCTCCCTCCCTCCCTCTCTCTCCCTCCCTCTCTCTCTCTCCCTCCCTCCCTCCCTCCATCTCTTCCTCCCTCCCTCCCCCTCCATCTCTCTCTCCCCCTCCCTCCCTCCCTCTCTCCCTCCCTCTCTCTCCCTCCCTCTCTCTCCCCCCTCCCTCCCTCCCTCCTCTCTCTCCCCCCTCCATCTCTCTCTCTCCTCCATCTCTCCCTCCCTCCCTCCCTCCCTGTCCCTCCCCCTCCATCTCTCTCTCTCCCTCCCTCTCTCTCTCCCTCCCTCCCTCTCTCTCCCTCGCTCCTTCTCTCTCTCTCTCCCCCTCCATCTCTCTCTCCCCCCTCCCTCTCTCTCTCCTCCCTCCCTCTCTCTCCCCTCTCCCTCCCTCCCTCTCTCTCCCTCCCCCTCCCTCCCTCTCTCTCTCCCCTCCCTCCCTCTCTCCCTCCCTCCCTCCCTCCCTCTCTCTCTCCCCCCTCCATCTCTCTCTCCCTCCCTCCCTCCCTCTCTCCCTTCCATATCTCTCTCTCCCTCCCTCTCTCTCTCTCCCTCTTTCCCTCCATCTCTCTCCCTCCCTTTCATGGAGAGGAAAATAAAACATTTTTTAAAAAGCAAGAGGACGAGTGCTGGTGAGGGTGTGATTGATTGCACCTCTTGCACTGCTGGGGGCCCCGTGGCTCACTGCAGCCGGCCCTCTGCTGGCACAGACGGGCATGACAGCCAGGACTCAGGACCCCCCCCATGTCCCCACGCCGGCTCAGCAGGTGGGTGGATGAGCGAGGCGGGGTCTGCCACACACGGGGCCCTTCAAGAAGTTCACAAGTGGAATGTGGCGGGATGCCTTTCCTGCTAGCTCCCCAAGGTAGCTGGGGGTGATGGGAGCCCACTCAGCCCAGACAAGGGGGGCGTCCCCGACGTCAGGCTTAGTGGAGCAGGGACAGGGGACCTGCGCCTGGCTGGCCTCCATGAGGGGCTGGGCGCTCCAGCTTCCCGGAGTTCCAGCGTGGGAGAGGTCAGACCCCAGCGGGGAGCAGGCCTGGATTCTCTCCCCCAGCTCCTCCCCCCGCCCAGGCGGCTGTGGCGGGGGCGGTTCTGAGTGGAGACCAGGTCAGCACTGCACACTCAGAGCGGCTGGGTGGACACGGCTCTCATGGGAAGGCGTCTGAGCAGAACGAGGTGGAGCCGTCCAGGCGCGTGTCAGGAAAGAGGGACCCCAGCGCGTCATCTGTCACCGGGGCTGTGGCGTCTGCTCGCTGGTCTGGGTCTGGGGGAGGCGGGTAGTCGAGGGACGAGGCCTGAGATGCGGCTGAGCCAGCAGAGGCACAGGGCCTGGAAATGGAGAGAGATCAGGCCAAGGTGGGGGACCCTCCTTCAGGGCAGCGCCGGCCCTTGAGGGGCACGTGGGCGAGCACCAGGCCTTGGCTCCGTCATCCCGGCGTGAGATGGGGCTGGTTTGGGCCGAGTGCCTGGAAAGGCCGAAGGTTCCAGAGCTGTTCCCAGGACGTGCACAGGCCTTGGGCACAGGCTCGGAGCCCTGGGGAAGGGAGAGTCCATGGCGTTCTCGCAGGCGCTGGCTGGGGTCCTGGCCCACGGTGGTGTCGGTCACAGGGACAGTGGGGGCTGCCGGCCATTTGACGTGGGTCCCAGCTCCGCTCAGCCGCCAGGTCCTGCTGGTCACAAGGTCACAGGGCCCGGCTTGGGGGCTGGCCACACGTGTGCCCGGTTGCTGGAGCCCCAGCCCCTCTCCACCTGGGCCCGTGGGGGCTTCCCCACAGCACGAGGTCCTCCCCACAAGGAGAGAAAGCTGCGCGTGGGCAGGGAGCCCCTGCAGGGAGCCCCAGGAGGCAGGGCTGGCGCAGCACCAGTCTCCTGGCTCTGCCAGCGGGGATGGAGGCGGTGGACAGGGCAGGGCGCCCTAGCAGCTCCGGCTCCTTGACAGGTGCGCACTTCAGGCAGAGCCGGGGTTGGGGAGGCGGCTCCCAGGAGAAGGTGGCCCTGACCCCTGGTGTTGCGGGAACCCCATGGGCTGCCTGCAGAGAAAAGAACCCGGCGTCAGACCCGGCAGGAGTGGGAGCTGGTGCCAGGGGCCTGCCGCCAGCTCTTCCTCGCCGGGGTCCTGGTGGAAGCAGCTGCAGGGTTTGGGAGGGGTTGGCAGTGGCACAGACGGGGCTCTGTCCACTCACCGCACCCCGGCTTCCTCGGCTCTGCCACAGGGCTGCTCCCATCCGAGCATAGCCTCCCAGCTTTGTGAAAAGACACAACTAAAGAAATTACTTATTTGAAAGAGTGACAGTGAGAGATGGAGAGAGATCAATGTCCCATCTGCTGGTCCATGCCCCAGATGGTTGCCATAGTCAGAGCTCAGCCAGGGGCCAGGAGCTCCATCCGGGTCTCCCATGTGGGTGCAGGGGCCCAAGCACTTGGGCATCTTCCGCTGCTTTCCCAGGTGCATTAGCACGGACTGGGCTGGAGGTGGAGCAGCCAGGACTGGAACCAGGGCTCAGGTCTGGGTGTATGGCGTCGCCTGTGCTGCCTGTGACAGCAATGGGCATTCGAATTCATCTTTTCCAGGAAGACTGAAACCTCCCATCGTAAATTCATGCTTTCAAACAGAGAATCTGCACGCGTGGCATAACATTCAAAATAATTCAAAACGCACCAGGGGCCTGGGGAACGGGCGGGGGCCGGCCCTCCTCCCTCACAGCCTGGTCTGCGTGTGCCCCCAGAGCTGCTCCCCCCGGGTTCACACACGCGCTCTGTGCTGACTGCTCCTGACTCCCCTGGGCACCCCCTGCGGCAGATCCCCGTGGACGGAGGGTGCTGGTTGGCTGGGGGGCAGGTGCAGCTGCCCACGGTGCACGAGCCAGGAGGGGGCCGGGCCAGCAAACCCCCAGGGAAGCCGGCCCTGGAGCGTCTGCTGCCAGCCAGGCCGCAGCATAGCAGGTGGGGCACCTGGGCCCAGGTGCCCTGCAGCAGCCAGCGTGACAGGAAGAGGAGGGTGCAGCAGGTGGCCCTGTGTCCAGCCGGTCGGCGGGCGGTTGTGGGCTGCACGGGAGGCAGGCCGGACCCTCAGGGCACCAAGTCGGCTGCGGGAAGCAAATCTGGTCGCAGATTCCTGAAAGGGACCTCTTCTTCTTCCTTGTGGCAGGTGCAGCTGGGACAAGGGTGAGTCCGAGGCCGTGTGACCTGGCCATGCAGGAGGAAGCTGGCCCTGTGAGGGGCCCTTGGGGTGAGTGGGGGCCTGATGAGGGCGTCAGGGGGGCTTGGCGGAGAACAGTCCCCTACTCCCTCTTCTGGCATGGGGAGAGGTTGTGTTACCCCTGGGAAGGGGGTCCTGAGACCCTGCAGGGACGGTAAGGGCAGTCCCCTCTCCTGCAGGCCAGCTGTGGCCTCGCATTGACCACTGGGCGTCTGGAGACAGGAGCTCAGCCCCGTTGTACTGGGGACCTGGGCCCGGCTGGCCATTCCCTCTTGCCTCCCCTCCCACCCCCAGCCACGGTGGAGCCTGCTGAGGAGGGGGCTGTGGTGTGGATGCGTGGGACTGGGACCACCGGGGTGCGGGTTCAGGGAGGACCAGGGGCCGCAGCCGCACGATCCTTGGGTCCCTGTGCGTCTGTCTGGGGAGGGTCCCGACGCGGCAGGGGAGTCAGGTGGGCCGGGGGAGGCGGAGCAGTGGGGGCAGCCGGCTGCCGCGGGAGCGCGGCGCGGGGGCGGTGCGGAAGGCGGCGCCGCTGCAGTGCGGGCCCCGCTCGCCCGCGTCTCCGCGTCCCCGCGCACTCGCCTCCCGCCTTGGGCGCAGCGCATCCAGCCAGGTACGTGGGGCCGGGCCCGAGGCCAGCTGGGCCGCGGCCGTGCCCGGGAGGCCTCCGGGAAACGCGGGGGTCCGAGAGCCGCCGGCGGGGGTGAGGTCCGGGGTGCGGAGTGGGGGTGGCGCGGGTCCCGGAGAGAGCTTTCCTCGCGTGCAGCCTGGAGACCCCGGGGCCTCGCAGCCGGCCCAGCCCGGCCATTATGACTCCGGCGCGGCGCCCGGCCTGGCCTTTGTTCCTCCCACCGGCCGCGGCGAGGCCCGGCCCGGCTTTCTCTCTCCGAGCGCGCGGGCCCCGCCTGCGGGCGACCCCCGCGCTAGTGTCCACGGCTCGGGGCCGGATTGCCGGAGGCCGCCCCCGACCATGCCCGGAGCCGAGCCGGAGCCCCCGGGGCCTGTCCCCAGGTAAGGCCGGGCCCTGCCCCGCCGCTGCGAACGCGGGGCGCGCCCTGAGGCCCGCGCGTGTCTTCCCCACAGGGACGCGGTCCTGGCGTTCGCGCTGGCCATGGCGGCCCCGTGCTTCCCCTCGGACGACGACGACAGCCTGCGGGGCTGCGAGCTCTACGTGCAGCAGCATGGCATCCAGCAGGCGCTCAAGGACTGCGTGGTGCACCTGTGCGTGGCCAAGCCCGAGCGCCCCATGCGCTTCCTGCGGGAGCACTTCGAGCGGCTGGAGAAGGTCAGTGGCCCCGGGGCCCCGCGGCGTCTCCGAGGTCAGGGCCTGGGCTGTGCCTGCTGGGGTCCGAGGAGCCGACCCCCGCCAGGGGCTCCTTCCTCCCCAGTGACACCTGTCGCCGCCGCCTTCCCGGCCTCTGGGGGGAGGCGTGGCCATGCCGGTGGGCCCCGCCCAGTCCTCATTCCGCTCCTCCCCCCAGCTGTCGCTCGGGGCTGTTCTGTTTCATGTTCCGGTCACAGCTCGGCTGTCCCTTGTCCCTGATCCCTCGTGTGTCCCCATGCTGTGGAGTTTAGGCTGCAGGGGTCCCCCCCAAAAGGGGGGAACGTACTTCTTCCCTGTATTTTAAAAGGTTTTATTTATTTGACAGGCAGGGTTACAGAGAAAGAGAGAGAGAGAGAGAGAGGGAGAGAGAGGTCTCCCGTTTGCTGGTTCATTTCCCAAATGGCTGCAATGGCCAGGGCTGGGCCTGGCCAAAGCCGGGTCTCCCAGGCAGGTGCAGGGACTAAGCACTTGGGTCAGCTTTCGCCGCTTTCCCAGGCCACAGCAGGGAGCTGGGTGGGAAGTGGCGCCCACAGGCCCAGGACCAGCGCCCATGTGGATGCTGGCTCTGCAGGCGGCTTCACCAGCGGCGGCCACAGCGCCGGCCAGCTGAGTGAGCTTTTTGAAAGCCCCCCATACAGATGCATGTAAGAGACTTTTGCACTGAAATGAACCCACATTCTCGTTCCGTTTCCCACAGACCTTTTCAAAGTCACCCCCTGAGGCCTGTCCCAGACCTCGCTGCTCCGCCACTGTGTCCTGTACGGGACAGTGTTTGGTTAGGAGGCCTTGTGGGAGTGGACTTCCGGGTGCATGCAGTCTTGCTGCTGGTGGTGGAGATCTTTCTAGAAGGGTGGTGTCCGGGTGCAAGGAGCTCCGTTGCTCGTTCTCCCTGTCACTGGTGGGTGTGCGTGGCCGTGGAGTCTCCGCATGTCCCCCCTTGTCCCCAGGCGTGGACAGGGAGGGCAGGTGGCCGTGTGTCCTCCTGGCTCTCACGGGGACCCTGCCGGAATTGGCACTGCTCGGCTTGGTTTTGGTTTGTTGGGGGGCGGGGAGTCCACCGGGAGCCCTGGGGCAGGTGCAGGCTGGGCCCCGCCGAGGCAGCAGGGGGAGAACAGGGCCGGGGACGTTTGGCTGAGGCCGCGATGTTTGGAGCCCTACTGGGCAGGGTGGCTTTTGCCAGCTCATCGTCACCCAGGGTGCTCCAGGACAGCTCAAGGCCGCCGAGGCCAAGCTGGAACAGGTGGTTCTGGGAGCCAGGATGAGGACTTGGCCAGAGAGGGTTAGGACTTGGGGTGACACCTGGGGGCCCAGGAGGGCCCAGGAAGATGCCACAGGTGGCAGGAGCAGGTGCATAGACCTGTGGCTCTGTGGTGGCCCCCGTGCAGAGACCCTGCAGGCAGCTGAGGGCTGCCCTGACGGGGAAGCATCCGAGCCAGAGAGCTGGGGACGCCAGCTGGGGGCCGCGGCAGGTGTCGGGGCTGGACATGGGCTGGGCGTGGGGCTGCACGGCCAGGTTGGCCACCTGTTTCCGTGGTGATGAGCAGGCATTGCTGTCCGGGGAGGGGGCTGTGGAGCTTTGGCCTGAGAAGGGGCTCCCTCTGGTGGGAGTTAGGCACCGGGCTGCCGGGGCTGGGTCTGAGCCATGGGCGGGGGCCTGGGCGGGGGCTGGTGGCTGATTCACCTGCCCCTGCAGAGGAGGGCTGGGGTCCCGGGCGGTGAGCGTGGCCTGGCGCTGTCTGGATTGTCTCAGGTTGAGGCCCAGGTCCTGTCTGAAATGCCGGCACTGGGTTCTGACCAGGGGTCTCGGCCTGGGTCCTCCCACGCCCGCCCACGCGTGTCAGCCTTGGCGTCTGTGGCCGCCACAGGCTGTTTCACCTGCACGAGCAGCCTCGGCCGCAGAGCCCTGTGCTCTGGCCCCGCTGGACACAGCCCCAGGCTGAGCAGCCTCAGGTGGTCGCTCTGTGGGGGGGGGTCTGCCCCACCCCACCCCACATTTCCTGTGGCCATGGCTGACCTGCCTTGGAGTGTGGACGTCTCTCCTGACGGCCTCCCTCCCTCTCTGGGTCAAAGTCTCCCCCTTGTCTTAAAAATTTAGAGAGAGAGGGAGAGAGACATTCAGAGGGAACTCCCATCTCCCACGTGTGTGCAGGGGCCCAAGGACTTGGGCCATCTTCTACTGCTTTCCCAGGCCACAGCAGAGAGCTGGATCGGAAGTGGAGCAGCCGGGACTTGAACCAGGGCCCGTATGGGATGCCCGTGTTGCCGGGCTGTGGAGTCACATACTGAGCACCTCAGTCAGGACCCCCCTTTTCTGATCAAAACGCCCTCCCCCAGGCCCGGCTGACCCCATGAGCGTGTCTCTCACCCTAGCTCCGCCTCTCCATCTGGCTGACCCCGTGGGCGTGTCTTTCTATGGCTCTGCCCCAGCCCCGTGGGTGTGTCTCTCTCTAGCCCCACCCTCAGCCCCGGCTGGCCCCTTGGTCATGTCTCTCTCCAGCTCTGCCCCAGCCCCCCTTTGGGCCTCGTGGGCGTGTCTCTCTAGCTCCGCCCCTCCACCCCCGCTGGCCCCATGGGCTCTCTCTAGCTCTGCCCAGGCACGGCTGACTATAGGCATGTCTCTCTAGTTCCGCCTTAGCCCCGGCTGACACCCCCCAGGAGGTGTCTCTCACCCAAGCTCCGCCCCCAGGCTCCCCCCCACCCTATGGGCGTGTCTCACTCTAGCTCTGCCCCAGCCCCTCCAGCTGGCCCCCCCAGTGGGTGTGTCTCTCTCCAGCTCCACCCCAGGCCTGGCTGACCCCGTGGGCGTGTCTCACTCAAGCTCCGCCCCAGCCCCCCTGCTGGCCCCTAGCCCTCCCCCCCCCCCCCCCGCCCCACTGGCCCGTGTCCTGTCTGTCACGCTAGCTCCGCCTTTCCCGGAGCTGTGGGCGGGGTCGCGCCGCGTTCCGCTCCGAGTGGGGCCTTCGGCCTGCTCCGAGGTTTGTCCCCGGTCCTCACGGCCGCGCTTCCCCCGTGGGCAGCGGCGCCAGGGGCGTCTCCGGGTGTGGGCGGAGGTAGGGGCGACCCCGGCGAGCTGCTTGGTGACAGGAACGCGTGTGTCCCCGGGGTTTCAGGGCCGACCGCGCCTGTGTCGGGCCGGGAGTGAGGCCCTCACGCGTGTCCGTGTCCACGTCCACGGCGCTGCCCCGTGGGAGGCGGCCACACCCGGGCACCGGGCACCGGGCTGTGCGGCCCCGCCTGTGGGCGGTCTTCGCTCCTCTCCCTTCCCCCGGGGTTTCAGGGCCGACCGCGCCTGTGTCCGCACCGGGAGTGAGGCCCTCACGCGTGTCCGTGTCCACGTCCACGGCGCTGCCCCGCGGGAGGCGGCCACACCCGGGCACCGGGCACCGGGCTGTGCGGCCCCGCCTGTGGGCGGTCTTCGCTCCTCTCCCTTCCCCTCGGGATTTCAGGGCCGACCGCGCCTGTGTCCGCACCGGGAGTGAGGCCCTCACGCGTGTCCGTGTCCACGTCCACGGCGCTGCCCCGTGGGAGGCGGCCACACCCGGGCACCGGGCACCGGGCTGTGCGGCCCCGCCTGTGGGCGGTCTTCGCTCCTCTCCCTTCCCCCGGGGTTTCAGGGCCGGCCGCCCCTGTGTCGGCGCCGGGAGTGAGGCCCTCACGCGTGTCCGTGTCCACGTCCACGGCGCTGCCCCGTGGGAGGCGGCCACACCTGGGCACCGGGCACCGGGCTGTGCGGCCCCGCCTGTGGGCGGTCTTCGCTCCTCTCCCTTCCCCGGGTTCTAGAACGAGCCCGGTGCAGGGGTGCAGCTGTTCCCTTGGGGTCTGGGTGACCTGCGTCTCACAGGTACAGAATCCGGGAGGAATCTGCACCTTAGCAGCGTCAGATCCTCCGCTCCAGGACACAGGCTGTGTCTTCATTAATTCTGTTAGATTTATTGCTGTTTTGGTTTGTGTGATTTTTTAAAATTTATTTTACTTGAAAGACAGAGTCACAGAGAGACAGAATCTTCCATCCGCTGGTTCACTCCCCCAGTGACCACAATGGCTGGAGCTGGGCCAGGCCAAAGCCAGGAGCCAGGAGCTTCCCCTGGGTCTCCCACGCGGGTGCAGGGGCCTAAGCACCTGGGCCATCCTCCACTGCTTTCCCAGGCCACAGCAGAGCTGGACGGGAAGTGGAGCAGCCAGGACTCGAACTGGCGCCCACTCGGATGTCAGCAGTGCGGGCGGCAGGCAGAAGCTGAGCCCACGGTGCCACCGCGCCGGCCCCCAGGCTTAGCTTTCCAGCCCAGTCTTAGGTTTGCAGAGACGCTGAGCCTCAGCACGGGAGCCTCCGGCCCCCAGCCCCGGCCCCGGCGCCGCGTCTGTAACAGCCTGGGTGAGACCCTGTTGCTGGCCCGAGTCCTCCGGTTCCTTCAGGGCTCAGTCTTTGTACTGTGCACCTAAGAGACAGGGATGGGGCCTCCCCGCCTTGGACGTCCACGGCTGTGACTGCTGGGCTCCCCCCGTGCACAGTCTGGGCCTCCCCGCCCTGGACGTCCGTGCACGCCTGTGACCGCTGGGCTCCCCCGTGCACAGTCTGGGCCTCCCCGCCCTGGACGTCCACGGCTGTGACCGCTGGGCTCCCCCGTGCACAGTCTGGGCCTCCCCGCCCTGGACGTCCGTGCCCGTGACCGCTGGGCTCCCCCCGTGCAGTCCGGCCTCTCCCAGCGAGTCTGGAGCCGGAAGCCTGGGCTGTGCAGCCCTATAGGCTGTGCTGCCCCTGCTGTGGCTCCGGCTGCCCTCTCCCGGGCAGGATGCTCCTGGCGTCTACTGCTGTGGACAGACATTCGCGTGCGTGTGCTTTTGGGTAAACTCCAGGAGTGGGGTTCTGGGCTCCACGCTGAGACCCCAGCAGCAGTGAGTGCAAGTTCCGTTGCTCTTCCTCCTCACCAGGGTTTTGTTCTGTTTGGATTTTTTTCTAGAAG